AAGGTCTGCCAAAACATTTCCAAAGAACTATCATAATATTTGAACACTCAACGAAACCAAAAATCCTTTACAACACAGGAGGTCAAACCTTATTAACCCAAAAGCCACACACACATTCAACTCATTAGCTGGGATGAATAAGACATCTCCTCTTCTCCCATCTCAGAGCTGCGGCTGCTTTGCAGTGACTCCACAAGCCCAGCAAAGCCGTGGATAACTCACGCAGCTTTTATCACATTAGCCACGGGCTGCACTCCTCATGATCATTAGCTTTGAAGTGTATTAAACAAAGCAGAACACGACCTTAGAGCTGATCCTTTAAATAGCTCCACATAAGGACAATTCTTCATCAGAGATACTTCACTGAGGCCACCAAACGAGATGCTGTGGGGAAGTGCCCAAAACAAGCAGGCAGAGAGAACTCTGTTCCACAGCCCAGGCAGGGACCAACTGCTTTTAGCTGCAGAGTTCACCACACAACTCCCAGCATACAGCCCTGGTTTTGGCTGGGCTCAGGAACCAACAAGAAGCAGATGTGTGCAAGTGGATGAGGCTAATGGAGAAAAGAAATCAAAGCTTTTCCTTTCGAACTAATACAATGCAGCATGGCTTTGCTCATTAGCAAAATGCACAGATTATCTTATCCACGGTCACGTTCAGTCCAACATGCCATCAGCATTTTAGAAACGGAATCTGGGGAAGGGAAAGTGAAAAAGAGATGACACGGTGCCCTTTGAGTGAAGTCAGGAAATGGAAGATATTTCACACAGGAATTCATCTTACTTGAATTCTCACATTACTGCAGTGCTTGAGATCTTCTCCAACACAACCTGCACTAAGGTATTTACACTATAAATAAATACATGCTTAATGTGATCAATGCAGTTTCCTTACATCCCTGCCATTTTGTACTGCTTTAAATACCAAGAGCAGTGGGAAGATAAATCTAAAACTTATTATTGAGTTATTGTTGAGCTGGGGGATTATTCTTTTTGTCTTGAAGTGGCTATGGCTTTGTTATCTCCAGGACTATTTTACAAAGGAGTTGAAAGAAAATGTGTTCTTCTGTCAAGCCAATAATTCAAGATTCAGAGAGCATTTTCTTCCCCACTGCAGGAAAATGTTATTTCCCCCATCTCCAAGTTCTGCAAACCTTTAGCCCTCCAGCTCACAAGACCATGCTCAAAAGACACGAATTAAACTCAAGAATTTTAAAGGTATTTCCAAATTTAAGTTAACTACTCTGGTCTTCCATACATCTAGGGAAAAACACAAAGTTATCACTAATTACAGACATCTTTCCCTACCATCTGCCCACTATGCTGCATCTGAGATATGCAAGTGTACAGAAAATAGAGGAAAAACAGACATTAAACTTTAAAGCCACGTTTGCACACCAGTTTTTAACGTTATTTGGAACACACAGCTTAATTAAGATGAGGACAGCCTGCAGACTGAGTGTAGGACAGATGTACCCTGTATTAATTCCTACTCAGCCCGTGCTTTACAGAGACAGAATAATGCATTGCCCACACAGAACACGGTTTGTTAGAGATTATTTTAAAAGGTATTCAGGCATGCCAAAAATGTGTCTTCATGGATGATGAGCAGCCCAAAAACAAATCTGAAATTCGGAGAAATAAAAAAGGCCTTTAAAGAGCTAAGAGCGGCCAGATCTTGATGTGAAGGATCCTCCCAGCACTAACACATCTTTGCGATACACAAGATTACAAACTGAATTAAGCCACACAAATACAACATTTACATTTACAGAATAAATTTCAAGGGGGGTATTACAACAATGTAGAGTTCCTAGAACTCTACTAGATTCTGTATGAACATACACACGTTCTTCCATCTGAGAGGGGGTAAGAAGAGACCCAAGCCTTAAAAACACAACCCAGTGTGCTCCTACAGGGAGCCAAACACTGAGCAGCTCAGAGCTGCATTTATCCCTGGCCATTCTTGGAATCAACTTGAGCCAGCAGTGTTGTAGCTAAAGAATTCCACAGGCCAGCAGACACACAGCATATTGTGAGTATGTTAAAGCAGATAGAGGTGAAAAGTATTCGTGAAGTTGTCACTCATATGGACGAATCGCTCACTTACAGTGGTAGATGGGGAGACAAACTCAAAGCAAATTTAAAAACCCAGACTCGATTAGAGGATGGGAGAATACAGGATAGACAGTCTCATGAGGACACATTTTGGAACTCATGACTACGTTTAACAAGAAACTCCACATTGCCACAAGCTTTCACATTGTATTACATCTCAGGCTGCCCTGTGTAATTCTGTAGGCAACACGTACCTCAAAAAAAAAAAAAAAAAAGCCATCAACCTTTCCTCCTCCCTCCCTTCCCTGGGCTACTATTCCTCATCACGCTCAACCAAGCTACAGTAACTCTAAAAAATTCAATGGATGTAAAAGAAACAAAGTATGATTCTGGTCCAAGCCTCAAGGCTTAAAAAAACCCAAACAACCGAAACCCGACAAAATCCGGAAAAGTATCACAAAATTGATGGAAGGGGATAACGACCTATTTTAAGTTTTAGCAGCTGCAGGACTGCAGCTTTGTGGCTTTATTTAAAACATACTAATTTCACTGAAAGAACAAAACACCATTAACAGGCATTTAGCTCTATCTGTGCTACGACATCTTGGTAAACACCTCTCACCAACTCGGAATGGCATCGTTTTCCATTATCCTACACCAAAAATGAGATGAGAACTGAGGAATCAGAGCTCAGAGGTGGTTAACAGCACAAAACTCATACACACTATGCAGCTTTCAAGCAGCCCTTTAACACCAAGATGTGCGGAGTATCTATCTGATATATGAGAGATGATACGCAGTCTGATTAAAACGAGCTGGTGCAGGAGGGAGAAAACGCACACAGGTTTTAAAGTGCAACAATCCAGGTGCTTTTTTTTCCCCGTTTTTCCCTCCCGCTGTTCTTGCCGGAGGAGATGGGGACAGGAAACACACAGGGACACCTGCACCTGATCCGTCTGTTCCCACAGCCACCAAACTCTTCCCACCTCTCCCATCAGTGCCGCAAGAAGTTGCAGCCAACGCCTGACAAGTTCAATGCTTGAGCTGCTCATCCGCACGTTCACATTGGGGAATTCATGTGCCTTAACAACACGTAATATCAACCTTTCCTCCTCCCTCCCTTCCCTGGGCTACTATTCCTCATCACACTCAATCAAGCTACAGTAACTCTAAAAAATTCAATGGATGTAAAAGAAACAAAGTATGATTCTGGTCCAAGCCTCAAGGCTTAAAAAAACCCCAAACAACCGAAACCCGACAAAATCCGGAAAAGTATCACAAAATTGATGGAAGGGGATAACGACCTATTTTAAGTTTTAGCAGCTGCAGGACTGCAGCTTTGTGGCTTTATTTAAAACATACTAATTTCACTGAAAGAACAAAACACCATTAACAGGCATTTAGCTCTATCTGTGCTACGACATCTTGGTAAACACCTCTCACCAACTCGGAATGGCATCGTTTTCCATTAGCCTACACCAAAAATGAGATGAGAACTGAGGAATCAGAGCTCAGAGGTGGTTAACAGCACAAAACTCATACACACTATGCAGCTTTCAAGCAGCCCTTTAACACCAAGATGTGCGGAGTATCTATCTGATATATGAGAGATGATACGCAGTCTGATTAAAACGAGCTGGTGCAGGAGGGAGAAAACGCACACAGGTTTTAAAGTGCAACAATCCAGGTGCTTTTTTTTCCCCGTTTTTCCCTCCCGCTGTTCTTGCCGGAGGAGATGGGGACAGGAAACACACAGGGACACCTGCACCTGATCCGTCTGTTCCCACAGCCACCAAACTCTTCCCACCTCTCCCATCAGTGCCGCAAGAAGTTGCAGCCAACGCCTGACAAGTTCAATGCTTGAGCTGCTCATCCGCACGTTCACACTGGGGAATTCATGTGCCTTAACATCACGTAATACAGACCAGCAGTTAAAAAAATTAAACCAAATTAAAAATGAGTTTTAACAGTGATGCATCGCAAACGCAGATGCAAACCCAAAACCGAGCTGCTGCTTTACCACTGATTTTCACTATTAGTTTTTAATAATCGAGCTCTTTCTGCAACACAACGCAAAAGTTTAAAGCTCAAGGCTTACTAGTAACAGCGTTAGCTCGACAAATAACACGCAAGTTCGGTTGTTTTAATGGCCAAAACGCAGAACGCCCGGCGCGCACACACGGTCTGCGGCGCGCCGAGCCAGCCCCCAGGACCGGGGGTGCCACGGCCGGGAGAAGCCCCTCGCAACCGGGCTCTGGAAGCCCAGCTGCGGGCAGGGAACGGCCGGGAAGGGCCACCGCGACCCGCGGGACACCCCAGGGGGGTTTTCGAGCTCGACTTTCCCCTCAGCACAACTCCAGCTCGAGCGCTCCCGCCGGAGCCCCTCGGGGGCGGGGGAGGGAGGGCGTCCCTGCCCTGGCTGCCCGCAGCAGGTAAGCGCCTGAGGGTTTGACTGAGGGGCTTCTGGGCTTGATTCCCGCTCCTCTTGGGTTATCCCGCGGGGAAGCAGCTCCGACCCCGAGCGCCTCCCCTCCTCTCCCGCCGCAGCGGCGGGCGCAGCCCGTGCTCGTCCCTCCCTCCCTTCCTCCCTCCTTCAGGTGCTGAGGGAGCGCCGGCGACCCCCGCGCGGGCAGCGGCTCCTCCGCACCGACACAGAGCGGGGGGAATCTCTCTCGATTACAACAAATAAACTAGAGCCGCCACGGTGCGTTTGCACACCCGCAGACCCGCCAAGGGACGAGCGCACTCACCGGCACTGCCGCCCTGCCCTGCCCGCTGCCCGGCGGTGCGCCCGCCGCCCGCCGCTCCGCGCTCCGCCGCGGCTCTGCCAGGCTCGGCTCCGCTCAGCTCAGCCCCGCTGTGCCCCGCTCCGCCCGCCGCCGCCCGGGGTAGTGCCTTCGCTCCGCTCCGCCCCGCGCAGCTCCCGCCCCCGCCCCGCTCGGCATTGTGGGGCTTGTGGTCGCGGAGCGCGGACTACGAGCCCCAGGGCCCCGCGCGCGGTTCCGGACAACGCCTGGTGTGTGGTAACACCGCGGGTCTTCCTCCTTCTCCTCCTCCTCCTCCTCCTCCTCCTGCTCCTCGCGGGCGCTTCCGGCGCGGCGGCGGCGGCGGCGAAGCCCCTCGGGAGCGGCGGGGCCCGGCGGGCCGGGGCAGGTGAGGAGCCGAGCCCTGCCCTGCCTTGCCCTGCCCGGCGCTGCGCGGGGCCCGCCGCGCCCCGCGGGGCTGCGAGAGGGGCTGCGAATTAAACCTTCCCCCGGCACCGCGGCCGCGCTGAGGGAGCGGCCGGGGCGGCCTGGCCGTGCGGGGAAGGTGTGCGGGGTGTCCCCTGCGCTCCCCGGCCGGGCGGTGACCTCCTCCTGCCCCCGGCCCCGGCGGGCTTGTCCTTCCCCTCGCCCTCCCCGCGGCCGCGGGGGCTCCGGGGCCCTCCCCGTGCCCGGCCTGGTGCCGGTTCCCGGTTCCCTCGGGCCGGGCCCGGCAGGCGCAGGCCCGGATGTGTTTTATTTCTGTGTGTGTATTTATTTTTAGCTCGTCCTCTCGCAGCGGGCGCTGTCAGGTGGCTGCGGCGGACAGGGAGAAAGGGCACCTCGGCTCCTTCCTGCGCCGGGGGAGGAGGCTCAGGTTGGGCATAAGGAAGAAATTACTCACGTCGGGGGTGATTAGATACGGGAAGGGGCTGCCCAGGGGGGTGGTGGAGTCACCGACCCCTGGGGATGTTTTAAGGCGAGGCTGGACGTGGCACTCGGTGCTCTGATCTGGGTGACGAGGTGGTGTTGGGTCAGAGGTTGGACTCGATGATCTCAGAGGTCCTTTCCAACCTGTTTGGTTCTCGGATTCCTTCTCTGCAGGGTCCCTCGGGCTGTGCCCCCCTTAGGGGCTGAGCAGTCAGGGTGTCCCATCAAGGTGCTCACTGATCTGGTGAGTTTGGCTGGTTCCTCTCCTGTGTCTCTGGATGGCTCAAACCTTGGGCCAGGTCTGTGCTGTTCCTGTTATCAGAGGAACTAATTGTCCCCTGGAATTTGTTTACGTGTTGGGGAGTATTTTTATGTTGGGAGCTGTGTCATACCTGGTGGTGTTCGATAAATAGGTTCACTTTCGCGTTCCCGAGGAGGTGAAAAAGAACGAGAAGCAGGGGTTTGTTGTTGTGATTAAATATTCTAACAACCGTGACCCGGTTCAGTTATGCTGTATAACAGTTTCAGTGTTGCTGACTAGTGGAACTGGAGCACAGGCTGTGGATTCTCATGTTAGGCACGAACTGGATGTGTTAGGACAGACTAAATCACTTCCATTTTAAAATCCAGCAGAGGAACACAAACTGATTGTAAGCCTGACTTCAGGTTAGGCTTGGATTTTTTTAAGTGGATATGGTTCTATAAATAGGCACCTTGGGTTTATCACAGGTTTGTCTGAATTCTGAATTAGTCATAGAACTCTTCTAACAGTAATAAAATGCATAAGCAGTTCAGTTCTGTCAGTGAGCTCGACTTGCAAGTGGCTGTTACACGTGTGTGGGGATGTTTGAGAGCTGCATCTCTTCTCTGTTCCAGACACTTTAAAGGCACTTCCAGAAATTCAATCCTCTTTTCTGGTGACACTGCTCTTCAGTGAACCTGCTGGCTGTGAGAGTTAGTAGAGTATGGAATCAGTGCACTAGCCTGCCTTTTTGAAATTTCCTGTTATCTTTGCTGATTTTAAAATACAGAGATTGTTACCTTAACGTTTGATCTGTATGCCCATCCCAGGGCATTCACCCATACATTTTAAAAAGAAGGAAATAATTCTGTATCTGAAGCACAAAGCCTCAAAGTTTTGTATAATATAATATAATCTAAGTTATGCAATGGGAAATAATTGCAATTGGGCAGGTAAGGTAACATCTGACAAAAAAAAAAGAGATGTGAGTTTTTTAGTTTTGTTGTTTTTTGTTTTTTTTTTTTTTTTTAATTTAAGTGACCATTAATAAGGCAAACATAGTTCCCAAGCTATGTGTAGAGTGTGTATGTAGTTAAAAGAGCATATTCTGCAATTCTTTTTCTTCTGTAAACTTTGCAGCAGCAAAGTTGACCTAAACCCCCTCCTCCCATCCACATTGCTCTTACATTTTGGTTCAAGCTCTTTGCCTCTAAATTCAGAGATGAATTATGAATTATACTGTTATTTCCCTTCCCCTACTCTTTCTTCCTGGACTTAAATTATTTTTTTCTGGTAACTCAGGGATCTCAGGTCAGGTTAAAGGTAAGAACCTCTTGAATCCTCCTTGCAGAAAGTGGAGCAGAACTTCTTGGCAGTAGGACTGTCTCTTCTAGCAGGAATGGAGCTGCAGTTTTTGCTAGAAGCCAACCATTGAAATAATAATTCTTGTAAATCACTGCCTCAGGCCTTGTTCCTCCGTGGTACTTTTCTAAAAAAGAATATTAATGTCTGAGCACTTACCAGATCTGAGGTGGATGGAGCCTGGAGAAGGGAGTAGAGACAACATCAGTGCAGAATTAGATCTGCTGATGACACAGCTGAAGACTGAAATCCTGCCAGCTGATGCCAAGTATTTCTGTTGGTTTAAAACTCTTTAAAAAGTTGAAATGAGGAGAGTCTGCTCTCTTCTCCTCAAACAGTGTTGTAGAAGTAGTTTCACACAAACACCTTTCTTTGATGGATACCTTGCTTGTTTTCACCCTGGCCTATGCACAGGTGTGGATTTTGTGGATTTGTAGCTCCAGTGGGATGGTTGTGCTCTTATTAAGTATCTCAGCAGTTCTGCTTGATTTTTAGGGCATGGCTGAAAGCCTGTCAGTAAATGACACACATCAGAGGAAGCAGATTGTCACCTCAGACACCCATCACGGTGGTTGTACATCCTGGGAAGGGTGGGGGGTTGTGCTTTTTACCTTTTTTTGGCTCACAGGAAGTTTATCTTCATGTAGGGTGGGGGGTTTTTTTCTGCTAAAGTTCAGCTGAATGATTTAAAATGTCACTGGATGGGTAAGGGGCAGTGGGTCTGGGAAGAATCTTTCCAAATCTGTTCCTCATCCAAAATGTACCCCATCTCTCTGTTTGAATGGGATAATGTTTTAGTGCCGAGACATAAAGGATAGAATGCCAGATTTGTAGTGCCAGGGAGAGCATGTATTCCATGTTAGTACATCTCTGGATGTGTGTGCTGATGAAGGGTTGTGATCACTGGCATCTTAGCATAGCCTGCAAATCGAGATACCCTGTAAATTCCCTGTGTCATTCTGTGCATTCTCCCCATGCTGCTGATTGCAAACACATGCATTTGAGTCCGTGGGATCATTGGGACAGGAAAAGCTCAGCCTCACACACAGTGTCGTGTTTGGCAGTGTCCTGCTGTCTTCTCCTCATCTGCCCTCTCAGCCCAATTAACAGGTTTACCAGCAGAGCAACACCTTCTATGCATCTCACAGCGATTTCCCGGGGTTTTCTGAACGGCACCGCTCCATTGTGCCGTTCTAATAAATCACCTTCTCGTGGAATCTCATTCCATCTTTTCTGAGAATGTAAAAAGCCAGTTGACAGATGAAACTGGGGTAAACTCTTCTCAAAGAAAAGGCTCTTTTGAGATTGCAGGGAACTGGAGTTAAGCTGTCAGCAGACAGTGTCCTGCAGCCTGGCAGCTGTGCAGAGCTGCTTTTGATCACATCCCCAAAGAAATGCTGGAAGCTCCTTGTGGCTGCCCGATAATGTGCATTAAACTTTGGCTCCAGTCAGGCCATTTTCAAGGTTGGTGAACTTGCTAATAGTTGATCTAAATAATAGAACAGAAACTTCATGGGGACTGAGCCCTTCCTCAAGGATATTTGTGTGTGGTTTAGTGCAGCTGTGACAAACTGTCTTCCTGTAGCATGGTAAATGTGGAATTTTTTATGAAGATCTTTATTCTTCCTATTTGACACCAGCAAAGGCTGAAGTGCATAAGTTACATCCAAAAGAGGTGAAGAAGCTGATCCCTGACTGCAGAGATAAATAGTGTGGCAGGGTCAGCAGTCAGGGCCTGGCATGATGGGGTGATGCTTCTAGAAAATGGGGAGATTTCTGGAATAATGAACAACCAGTGTGATATATTGAATATATTTCTTTTCATACATTGGCAACAAAGCCATTTGATGTTCTCATGTATTTCTTGTGTGCTTGTGTGTGTATAAATCCACCTCTCCAGTCGTAACACTGGTGTCTTTTGTGTTCATATAAATCCAGAGTGCTGTATTTTTTTTTTTTTGGTAAGAGTGTCAGTGTCTGGTAAAGAGGTAATAGATAATATATAATTGTTTTTATATGAGGGTTTTAACTGTACCATGGATTAGTAACAATAGCTTATGGCTCTTCGGGAGCAAATGAGTTCTTCATGGTAGTCCACAGTGTAATAGGTTTTCATCATCATAAAAATCCATCATTTCACTTAGTATTTCCTTTTTTGTGTGTGTGTGTGGGTACTGCTAACCCATAAAAACAAAGTAATTATATCTAATGGCAATTCTGTCCTTTTTTGCCCTTCTTCCTGTGATAAAAATCTTTTGGGTAGAGCAGAACAATGTTCAGTGACCTGATTTAACTCTTTAAAAAACTTACTCTGAGAATACAATCCTGGCTGAAACCTTGCAGTGAATTCAGCTGCGAGTGCTGCCTTCAGTGGTGCTTGTCAGGTTAGTGTCTTGCAGGAGTTTATATTTACTGAACTTCCAGAAACATGGAATTAAACAGCAAAACAAAGAGATCTCCAGCCACTCTGGCCCTCACATGCAGGGAATCCACATGGATGGTAAATGGGACAGCTTGTACCTGCAGCAGGGAGTGAAAACTTGCTCAGACAAGTTCCCACCCCCCCCATGTGAGCAGACATTGCCTGAATTTATGTAACTCTGAAACAAGTCCTCGAAAAATAGTCCACTTTTTGAGGAATGGGGGATATTCACTTGTGTTCTTCCATGTTCCTGACAGCTCTAAAATGTGTCTGGGTAGGTGAGAAAAATGGGAGAACCCTGAGCTTTGCAATTCCATCCGTGTGGACATATCCACACAAACCCCTTTCTAAACCCCTGGGAATCCTGTCCTGGGGCTGTAGGAGTTGCTGATGTGTGTTATGTGGAAAGGTTGGAATAAGTCAGAAGACTGATATAAATATTTTATTGTAGTCATGTTTAAATTTTCTTTAGTGTTTTTAACTGTTGTGTGACCAGTTCTTCACCCACTTTGGAGTACATTCACAGTGCCTGTTCACAAGCTCAGATGAGACATGTATGATATTTGTAGTCATCCAAGTTCTTCTCTGTGCTGACTGTAATCAATAACAAATTTCACTTGTGTAGTTATGGCTAAACTACTGTAACCCTGCCCTGGAAAAAAAAATACCTGTTCTTTTATGGCAACAGCCTGAAGATTTTTAGCTGCTGCAGAGCATAATGAGGAATAGAACTGGAAGAAATAATCTTGGTGTTTTTTTCACTTATTCACACTCCCAGTGATGCTGATTGCTGGAGTAGCTTCTGCTGTTTCTTGTAATTTCACTTCTTTCACTTCTTACTAAAATGTCAATAAATCACACAGACATGCAAATGCCTGATGTCTGAAGCTTGTTAGGAGGAAAAAAACCTCCTCTAGTACATTAGATATTCCAAGCAAATCTAAGAATTAAAACTGTTAATCTCCTTTTTATTTTAATTCCTAACTTGGACTTCAGGTCTTTAAACTCAATTATGTCATGTAAAATATTTTTAGAGAATCTGATGAACAGAAAATGTAGCAGGCTGGAACAAAGGTTCCTTGTGAGCTGTAGGGTGATCTTCCTTCTTTTCCACATATTTGCTATGTCTGAGCAGCGATGGCTCCACGTTGGATGAGATGAGCTGGACTGGGTGGAGAACTTCCCAAACAGAGGTTCAGTGACTGGAACAATAATTTTTCCATTGAGTGAACAGAGCTGGGGACACACCCTGAGTGGAAACATGACTTCAGCTTATATAAACCCAAAGAGGCAATATTAGGAATTCACAGGGGTGGAAAGTAGGCACAGCTTGATGCATGTGCAAAAATATGGGGTATTTATAGGTAGTTTTAATGTTAATAGTCATGATGCATCTGTATGGGGTTTGGGTTTGCAGCATTTCAAGCTTTCTCTGTAGGGAAGTTGTCAGGAACCTTATGCTGCTGCTTATGAGTGGTGGCAAGATTATTGTAAATACATATTGAACAAAATCACTGTTTTGGGGAAAATTGATTCCATAAGGACTTGAAGGGAAAAAAAAAAAGAAACAACACTTCTGGTAGCACCTTATTCTTTAAAATATCCACTTAATACATCTCAGTTAGGGCTTTGAAGTCACACAGAGTGGTCATTCCGTATTTCCTTGACTCATGTCACAAGGAATTCCTGGTTTCTGGGCAGTACCAAGCTAACGTTGATCTGTGTTTTCGTTTTTAGAACCTGCCAGTCCCGAGTCTTTGTAACTGTGTGTTTGTTTTTTCTTTTCCTGCACGCCCTCAGGACGATCCATCATTTTTCCAGCCCTTCAAGGATTCTTGCACGACGAGGAAAAAGAAGAAACGTTTCAGTGAATGAGGAGTTTTTTGCTTCTATAGCGTTTTCCTGGAGAAGTGGCTCTTTGAATGAGGATGACAATGGAAGAGATGAAGAATGAAGCAGAGACCACTTCTATGGTTTCCATGCCTCTCTATGCTGTCATGTACCCTGTCTTTAATGAGGTGAGCTGCAGTTTGCTGGGGAATGGAACAATCCCCTTCATTTTGGGAAACATTGACACAGTAACAGGTTGCTCAGTTTGACTGGGGAAGCTTTTTTGTCTGACACCATCTCCTTTCCATGCATGGTTTTACCTTTTTTCCATGAATGCTGTTTCCTTCTCATCAGAGATTGCTGGTTGTCTTGGCCCTGTGAACATTTTAATTTTACTGCTAATGGTTGTGATTTAATAGGATATTTGATTTTCTGTGAGTATCAGAGATTGGCAAGATATTCCCTAAAGCTTCTGTCAGACTTTTGCTGCAAAATACATCCAGTGACACCTTTGATTTATTTGAGGAGGGGGAAGTCTTTCCTTTGGGATTGAACATCTCTCAAATGACACCAGTAATTCGAAAGCCTCTGTCAGTTCCCCATTGCATGATGTGGGTAAGGCAGGCCATGGGTATTTGACTGGTTTTGTTCTGATAGCATCAGAATTCCTAACAATTCCAAACTTTCCTTGCAGCTGGAGAGAGTAAACCTGTCTGCAGCTCAGACGCTGAGAGCAGCTTTTATTAAGGTGAGAAGGATCTCGTTTTGAAGAGTGATGTGATTGTTTAAAAGGTAAACCATACGTAGTAAAGCTAAAAAGGCACCTTTCTTGTGGCCTTACCTTTGCATCTGAAGGCTCCATCCATTCTAAAAGTGAAGTGGACAATTGCATGGGCTGGAAGTTTGAGAGGTCAGATGTTATGAGTAAAAATCTCGTTGAGACATTTTAAACAGATTTTTGTCTTGTCCATATAGTACAAAAGCTTCAATGAGGAAGCAGTCAGTGAATAAATAATATACTGAATCTGAAAATGCCAGTATTATGTGGCAGAGGTGCTCATCAGCAATAAACACACAGCAGGCTTTGGAGCTGCTTTGAGTGAGTGGTAAGGGGATTGTTTTGTGGATGAGGATCAGTTCAGTGCTTGTGTCTGCATCCAGCAGTAAATGGGAAAAAAAGAGTCTTCTAACTTTTATATTCCTAAAGGGTGAAAAATTCCTTTATACTCCTTTATTGAAGTCCTGATCTTTCGAAATTCTTCAAACAAACATAATTGCAGGCAAGACAAATCTTGACACATGAGCTGTGCAAGTACATTGTAGTTCCCTGTTTAAAAACCTCAGTCTGAAATTGTACCTTGACAATCTGAAGTCTCAGCTAGAGCTCATGCAAGCTAAATGTTTTTACAACTGATGATAAGAAGCTGAGTGCAAATAATATAAAAACTGAGATATTGGTAGCAAAAAAACCCCCTCACACTCTCATTCTTACTCCACACAGTGCAGGTTTTTTAGCAGCAGCACAGGTAGTGGGAACACCTCCAGTGTTAGCTGAGCTCTAGCTTAGCTTTACTTAGATATATCATCAGTCAAAAGCTGGGGTTTTTTTACTGAAAAAGCAATTCCAAAATGCTGTCTGGAGCATATGATGTGATTCATAAGAGGCACATTTCAAAAAAAATGCCATGTGGAAGGTGGGGGAGCAGCACCTGGCTTTGAGTGAATTGAATTCCAGTGGATACAGTGTCTCTGCCTCAGAGCTCAGCGTTTATGAAAATATAACAGGATATAGAAATTCATGAAAGCCTTTCTCATTCAAATTGAAACGAGTGGAAAGGCTTACTGGAAAAGTTATTTATACCAAATCAGTGATGTAGCCCAAAATAACGAATGTTGTAGTGGAAAAATGGTTTTCAATGTAATCTACTGGTCTAAAGCCATTGGAATGTAAAGTTTCTTGCAAACCCCTGCAGTATCTCAAGCAAGGTACACGAAAATCTTGCCTTTGTGCTTGCAACATTCAGGTATTGGCATTTTTAAGAGTAACAATTTGCTTTACTGTACAGGCTGAAAAAGAAAATCCAGGCCTTACACAGGACATCATCATGAAAATCCTGGAGAAAAAAAGTGTGGATGTGAACTTCACAGAGTCCCTTCTGCGTATGGCAGCGGATGATGTAGAAGGTAATAAATCCCATGTTGGATAACTGGATTTTTAATTACCATGTTAACTAGAAATAGGCATTTCTCTGCCTTTTTTTCAGGAGAGATTACTTATTTCTTAATACATTTTTTTTAGCGTGGTAAAAGAATGTTTACATTTTTTGAATACTTCTTTAGGAGAAGTTGAATCTTCCTGAAAACTATACTTGAATGATAAGAGGAAAAAAGAAAATGAATGTTAAGGACTGTATTTATATGGGTGCATAGTTCACCTTTTGCATTGCTAACAACACAGAAAAAAGCATAAGTGGAGTGTAACATCCTCTTTTTTTTCCCCTCTGTTTCAAATTAAAAGCAAAAGTTCCACTGTCAAAGAAGGAGAATGTAGGCTTGAAGTTACTTTGGTACTGAATTTGATTACTGTGGTGTCTTCAGTGTCTCAAGTAGATTAAGATGGGCTCTTTTTGCCTGGTGCAGTAATAAAGGGGATGTTGCCCTGTGTTTTGGTTCATGCAGAGTGTATTCACTGCATTTTTCTGGTCATGGCTATTTTTGTGCTGTTCACCTTCAAATAGCCCATGGCACTACTGCTGCCTTTTTGTGGAGTGTTTTTAGCTGTCACTGGAGACTTGAGACTTGAAACACTGATGGTGTTTCTGAATATTTTCTTTTTGGTAGAGTACATGATTGAAAGACCAGAACCCGAATTCCAAGATCTTAACGAAAAGGCACGAGCACTTAAACAGATTCTTAGTAAGATTCCTGATGAGATCAATGACAGAGTGAGGTTTCTTCAGACAATCAAGTAAGTACCATGTGATGGATTTTTCTGCAGATTCAGAGGTCAAACTTTTTATTTAGGCCTGATTCTCACTCAGATGTTTAGGATATTCCTGGACCAAACTTACCTTGCTGATTCCCACCCTGAATTCCCAGGGCGCTGCTCTGGCTCGTTGCATTTGCTCTTGTGGCATCACGTCTGACACTTCCTCTGTAGAGACTGTTTGAAGAATTAGATGGGATCACTTAAGGATATTGCAGTTACTGTGTTTTTTTTTCCAAACAGGGACATTGCAAGTGCAATAAAGGAACTTCTGGACACAGTAAATAATGTCTTCAAGAAATACCAGTACCAGAACCGGCGGGTATGTGCAGCAGCTCTTCCCAGGCAATATTGAAATAATCTAAGAGGAGGCATTTCCTTTTGATTAAAGGATGAGTAGAGGACTTTAACTGGTCAATGACTTAACAATGATTTACCACCAAAATTATTGTGTGATAGGTCTAGGCAGTTTTATGGGAAGAGAATGGTATCTCTCCATGTCTTCTAAGAAAAATGAGAATCAAAATGCTGTCCCAAACATGATGTCAGCCAGTTTTCTGATCAGTGCAACCTCAAGATTCTCACTGTACCCAACAGTCTGTGAACTAAGACTCTGCTCCTGATGTTTTTGTTTTCTCAGGCACTCGAGCACCAAAAGAAAGAGTTTGTAAAATACTCCAAAAGTTTCAGTGATACTCTGAAAACCTATTTTAAAGATGGAAAGTAAGTATGGTTTTGTACTAACAATTTACATCATCAAAGGCTGTGTTAACAGGGGAAAATAAGACAAAACTACCCTTCTCAGCACTTGCCTAATTTTTCATACCTGTGTCCTTAGATTATCATGGCTGCTTTAAATACTATTTCTTTTGTAATGCCTTTGAGGAAAGTGAATTTTTTTAAATGCACCACAATACAACACCCATGTGCAGCATTAGTTTTAAATCTGAATTTGTGAAGTTAAATTTCCTGGCCCTGTGTGGTTTTTCTCAGTGTGTGTACAAGGACAAAGAAATTATGAATTCTTGATTGAAAAAAGTAATTTACCTATTTGAAGTATCATTTGCAAACACTAAACATCTGTGCAGTGTTCTCTTTGATTTACATTTTTATTGGCCTTTCTTTATAGGCCCTTACAGTGCTTTGCAGTATTTGGAATTTCTCAGTTGAATCTTTTTCTCTTTGAACATTTTAGCCTTCAAACCGAGGCTTTTTCCAGGTCTTCACCTTGGCTTTAAAAGTCCACATTGCTGGATAATTCACTGTAGGGATTGTTTGGGAAGATGATTTTGACAGTGCCAAAGTGTCCTGTGTGCTGCAGTTCTAAAAATAAGAACTAACTTTCATGTCAGCTCTTGTCGAGCTTGGCAAAGCCCAAGAACACCCAGGAGAGGGTTCATTATTAAAGGAGAGGGAAGTCTTAAGACCAGCTGGGAATACTGGGAATAATCCTTCTTCAATCAAAGCATTCTGATTTTCTTTTCTTACTGAAATTGGGGCTAAATTTGGTTATGATACCAAAAAGAGAAATTTAGGCCTTGTAACTTTTATAATTACCGGACAGAAGTGCTGTGTGTTGCAGGCATAACCTTAAAGTGTGTGAGTTATTTGCAGTATCCACTTCCAACCCTCAGTCATCCGCTCCACTTTTTCTCTTGGTTAGCTAAACCCCAGAATCAAACAATTGAGATGTCAGTGATGATTGAGAGCCCAGTTCTTTTAAGTTTTCCTGCCAAATAAACACAGCCTTTCCAGGATCAGCTGTGCAGATGAGGCCGGGGTGCCAGCACTGAGCTTCAGGTAGATCACGACAGGGTAGGACATCAACACACTTCCAATTTTCGGAGCCTGGGTGCCAGTAGTGCTGGATTTCTGGAATGCCATGTTTCTGAAAGCCTCTGAAGCAGTGTCTTTCTCTCTCCACAGGGCAATAAATGTGTTCATAAGTGCCAACCGACTAATTCATCAAACCAACTTGATACTGCAGACCTTCAAAACTGTGGCCTGAAAACTGTATATGTTGAGAGTTGTACTTTTCAATGGTGGATAGGGTACCTTTATATGTAAATTTTAAAGTTTTGACTGTATAAATTATCAGCCCCTCTCCGGGGAAGGGGGGGGGCCCTAATGCAGGATTTTGAATGGGATTATTGCCATCTTACACCATATTTTTGTAAAACATTGTAGCTTAATCATAATCTCACGAGGAAGATTTTGCATCACTTTTTTGCTATTATCATTCTTTTCAGAATTATAAGCCAAAAGAATTTACGCCTTAATGTGTCATTATGTAACATTCCTTATAAGAATTGTAAATATTTGGTGTTCTGTTTCTGACATTTTAACTTGAAAGCGGAAAACTGCAAGATTATGTATTTAACGATATTGGTGGCAAATATTCAATAAATAGTTTACATCTGTTAGACTGTCTTTTTGTATGTGAACAAAAGTGCATAGCTCATCTTTCTAGAAGTGCAGAACATTCATCAAATAGAAAAAAATCATCAAATTATTTGGGTGCTTAAAGCTACTGGGAGTTCAAATCAGTGTAAAATCAGGGGTTTTCCTTAAAGCTGAGATTTTTGGCTGTGAGCTAGACCAGAATACCAGAATAATTATATTAAAATGTCTTTGTCAAAAAGTAATAAATAAACTCAGAAGTGAGATGTTCTTTTGTTTTTGATAGAAACTAAATCTCACTTCTTTCTTAATTTTCTCTTGGTGGTGAGTTAACAGGTTTTTTTACTCCTAGACTATTCCAGGGTTTGGAGCAGAGGATTATTTTAAATATATGCAGCTGAGTTTGCAGCAGAGGTTGAGTTTAAAATATGAAGATAACTGGGTTTCAGATTGGGAGGGAGGAGGAGAGAAGCTGGAACTCTTCCAGGTAGCACTAGTGATATCTATACTATGCATGCCACAAGGCAACTTTTATTTTTCAGGGATTGAAATCATGTGAGACCTCCACTGACAAACCTTGGCTGTGTCGATGGTTAAGAGCTGCTGATGGACAGATTCAGATTTTATCATCGTGATTTCATGGTGATATTTCACAAGGTTAAGGAACCTCTCTCATGCCCCTTTGAAGAGCACCTTGAGCTTATTTTGGAATAGAATAAAAGTTCTTCAAAACCTGTGGCCATAACTAGTAAGTTTAGAGAAGAACATGAAGCAGTTCCTAAAGCTGCACAGGCTGTTGCAGGAGGATCATTCCAGGCTGAAAGAGCACAGTTGCTACAGGAATGCTCCTTTTTTTAGGTGTAAATGCTGAAGAAAAGGTCCATCCAGACTTTCCTTGCACACTGGCCTGGTGCTGTATTGCTCTTTCGGGGCAAGTGCCTTATCCAGAGTCCAACAGCTGGGCCCTCGAGTTTGGTTATCTGCTTCAATCATCAGAGAGGGGGGAAGTGCAACCTGCAGCCCTCCCACATAGCACTGGATGTTCTGCTGCCTGTCTGGCCATGGAGTTGTTTCCTTGCTGACAGCACTGACTGTAGGGAAGTGGAACAATGTGAGGAGAGTGTTGTGTCAAAACGAGTCCTTGGGAGTGTACCTTGTGAGACTTCTGGTGCCACACGAAGCTCTGAAGGGGACGTGGCCCTTGAAGCTTTGCTGTTCAGCCTGTTTTGTGTTCTGCCAGTGGTGTGGTGTGGCAGTAGCAAATTGAGCTTAGTAACATGACAAAGGGATGCAGATACAATTTAGAGCTTAAACTTTCTGTTATTTGTCCAAGCCTGGCCTGCTGAAATGTCGCTTCTTGGAAAGTGGTAGGAGAGCAGCAGTTTTAGCAGCGACTGAGGAGACAGCCTGACTAAATCAGAGTGATATTTCATTTGCATCTTTGCTTTCTGTAAGTGAAAAGTTTGAATAGTCTTCCTTGTGGGTGATGTTCACTTAAGTCATAGCTACAGAGGGCTTCATGAAGACTAATTAAGTCAGCTGAGAAGGAAGGGAAAGGCACCTGAAGTTTGTGATACTTCATTTGTCTTGAAAAGAGTGTTTGGTACTGGGGAGGCTGCAGCAGTGGCTGCAAGGAGACAGAGACATGAAAACTTGGGTTATATTTTCCAAATTGGACTTAATTCCTATAATATTCTGAGATTTCTCTATTTTCTTGGATTGAGAGGGACAGTAGCAGGTGTTGGTAATCATTAGCTGAATGATGATGTTTGTAAGTGTCGTAAAAAAATATATTAAAAAAACATTTATGCATTGGGTCCCAAACAAGATGCTTTGTCCTTTTAATTGATTTCCTGGTAAAATCAGAGGCTGTTTCATCAAGAAATGAACTGTTCCTGTTCATCAGATCTTCCCTAAACCTTTACTGGGTGAAAGGTACCAAATACAGGGCTGAGCTTCGGGTAGTCTGGCCAGTGTGTTTTGTTTGATTTATAACCTCATTGTGATTTCTTTATGTTACCCTTAAAATCAATGGAAAATTATTCATTGTAATCAATGTCTGGTAATGGGAAAACTTGAAAACTGGTGTCTTCAGGTCACACTCTTCTGTTGTGTGCAGTGAATCCATATCTAGTGGTCTTATAAACCTCTATTTTCCACTGAATATGAGCTGGGACATAACGTCTGTCAAATTTTATTGTGGTTTTTGCACTTTATTATTCCAGTTACCTGAGTAGCTAAAGATAAGTTTCTCTTCAGGATTTCTGATACAGCAGTTAGTGTTGCAAAATGCTCTTAGAAAATTTCTGCTGTGAATGTGGGTTATAACTGCTCTGATAATGTTACCATACAGAAAACCGATCTAATAAACGAAATAAAACTTTGTATATTTGTTAACGAAGCAAAGAAACGTCTTAATCCCTTGTTTTGATTTCCCTCAGCCTGTGAAAGCAGTGCAGGGCGAGCTCAGACTGACTCATTTCTGGTGAGCAGCCTGGCTTGGTGGTGATGCAAAGATCTGTGCACGAGTGTGTGAGATGTGATGTGCCAGCCCAGTGCCAGGGGTACCTGGAGCGGTGAGTATCAAACCCCACAGTGTTCTGCTCTCCCAGCTTGCCTGCACGCAGCCAGGGGGCTGAGATGGGATCAGTCTTGATTTATTTTATCTTTGGACAGGATCTTGTCGAGATTACCGCTGAAGTTCCCTCTTAGTGTTCTCAGCTCCTGCACTGGGTGCCAGGGGAAGACATGCAGGTGTCATCTGATGCTTTCACAGGGACTCTGCTCCCTGAGATGGGTGGGGAATGAAGGGAAGGTTATCGAGGCAAACTCACCACAAATCTGAGCTGTAGATTGTTCCAGTCTGAAGGGGAGTCAAATAAAGGTACCAGCATGTGCAGTGCTGATAACTGGGTTTGGTGACTGTCACCTGCCTTTGGAGGAGGCACTGGCTGTTCTGCCTGAGAATCTGCCTTTGCCATGCCCAGCCTGGCTCCTCTTCCCACAGGACTATCCAGTGCCTCCTGGGAAGGGAATTGCAGGCAGTTTGTTCTGGGAAGTGTGGGAAATCTCTGAGCTTTGCCTGATGATTCAGGGCACTTGTTCCCTGTGCTTTTCACTCCACTGTTTTGCTCCTCCTCATCCCCATCTGGGCAGATGCTGCTTTTAAAAGAGACCAGGTAGGAGATGTGCTTCAGGAGCAGAGGCACTGCCTGAGAGCAGAATTAGTGCTAAAAAACAGGGTTGAAAAGATGCTCCTGGGTCCTTTGGCCTTTTGTTACAGAAATTTAAAAGTGCTGTATAATGTTGGCCTTAAATCTGTCCAGTTCTATTGTAAAACCAGCTCCTTTGTCCTCGTTCCTCCCGTTAGATGTCATTTTACAACAGTCTGAGAGAATAAAAAAAACCCCTTCAAATATTGAAGTTTAATATGCTGCATGAATTTAATTTATGATGAAGAATTCACTAACCTTGTCCGTGGCAAATTGTCCTTTTTCCCTCTCTTCTTCACTGAGTCATGGGATGAATTGTATCAGCACAGATACACAACCTCAAGGTTTTGGACCTCTAAAAAGAGCAAAGTGCTGGGCAGTGCCAAAATTGCTCCTTTGAGGCTGAGCCAAAACAATTTCTCCTCATGTTTTTAACACAAGCTTGAATTTTGCCACAGAACTCTTTGGTGGTGGTGAGCACCAAGAGGAAGGGATGTTAAATTCTTCCAAGAAGCTAGAGGAAGAGAAGATAAATCCTTCTCACCCTAGAGACAGAGGTGTTCTACTTACTCAGTGTATTCAAGAAGGAAAAGTGTTTTTTAGTGCTGTAATTCCATTATTGGGGACAAGGTAAGCAAAATAGATTTTCAATTGCTGATTTCTCATGCACACTCAGATCTGCTGGATAAACAGTTGTGAATTTGCATTTGGTATCACAGTCAAAGGAGTGATTACACCTGATGGATAGAATAATTCTAGAGAATATTTTGTAGTATTTCACTGAGCTAAAAAGCTGAAAGCCCTATATCTAAATTAGACGTGTCTCTGACACTTTATTATTTCATAATTGTAACTACTAGGCTTCTCACAGTAGGTAATTGCTTTTTTCCCCAAAGCTGCCTTGGTCTCCAAGGACAAGTGATGGGTGAAATAGAAGCCTGAGTGCCTGAAGTTTTAAAGTAAAGAGAATAAAGTATGAGCTGCAAATATAATTCACTTAGTCTCCCTTCTTGCTGCTGGGTATCTAATCTCTGATAGAGCCACAGTGAAAGAATTTAAAAGGAGGCTGAGTTACAACCTTTAAGAGAACGCAGGAACTTTCATGGTGAGTGAATTTCCTAATTAAAATGTTAATTGGAAGGATTTTGCCTTGCTTATCGAGGGAAGTGTGGTAACCCTTTTTTCCCTGCTGTTTGTGCAGCCGTGTGATATTAATAATCCTGTGTGCTTTTCTACATCTGCTTAGTGAGTGACAAAGAGCATTTTCTGAAGTGGTTTGGAAAGGCAGATCAGGAATTCCTGTTGAAGTTGTAACGCAGTAAGGATAATAAATATTGCCCCTGAAGGCTGAGAAGGAAAACTCACAGAATCCTTTAGATCATCAAGTCCACCCTGTGCCTGATGCCCACCTTGTCACCCAGCCCAGAGCACTGAGTGCCACGTCCAGTCATTCCCTGGACACCTCCAGGGATGGGGAATCCACTCAGTCCTACCTGGAAGTTTCCTCTGGATCCAGACAGTCCTGCAAGTACAACTCACCTGTAGTCTTTAGCCCCAGTATTTAGGGAACCATCATCCTGAAGCCCCACAAAGAGCCTTGGTTGCTGCAGGGAATGAGAGAAAAGAAAAAAAAATCCACCTATTTCTATTCAGTATGAATTGAAAAGTTAAAGGGGCAAAGAAAACATCATTAGAGCTGAGTTTTACCTGCATTTTTTACATGGCTTTAAATATAAAACCCAAAGCAAACATTTAGTTGTAAAGCCACGTGCAAGTAAATATTTTTATCTGAATGCGAACTGAGCTGCCCT